GAGAGTCTCGGGAGAGCGCCGTTATTCTCCCAAACGTGAAGTCATAGCTGTGAATACTTGTTTGTATTTGAAAACCTGTTGGTGGCTTGCAGATTCATCTAGGTCTGAGTGATTTTATTGTAAGCAGTGATGCATTTGACGTGCGGCTGAAGCTAATCAGAACAAGCACGCAGTTATATTGAGATGCATCCCCAAGACGAGAGTGAAAGCTGCCCCTCCTCGTATCTCAAATCCTCTCTATATTAACAACAGTCAGAGGGCTGGAATAATGAGTCTCTGCTGATTATTATGCTATTCCCGCGCCCGCTTCTGGAAATGAATAACGAATTTTATTCTCACTGCCTAATCCCTCATTGAAAACCCATTCTTCTTGCGTCACAAAGCGGGAATTTAGAGAGCACATAATTTCAAAATGGGTTGTAATAAATATTTAATATTATTCAAAACTTGATGTCGTTAAAATATTACTATTTTTTCCCCTTGGCACTACAGCGCCAGTGGGCCTAGGCCTACCTCCATGAACTTCTCCGTTCACAAAATATTACTTTATATCAATTTAATATCCTTTTAGGCAGCCGGTCACAGTAGCTAAGTGGTCTAAGGCATGTACTCTCTTCGCTCGCTCGGAAGCCGGGATCGCGGGTTCGAATCTGTTTCCTGTCAGGTACGAACTGAATTCTTATACACTGCCGGTCACGGTAGCCGAGCGGTCTAAGACATGCACTGTCTTCGCTCGCTCGGAAGCCGGGATAGTGAGTTCGAATCCCACAGAAGACATAGATATTTGCTATGTGTTTATTCTGAGTTTGTTTTGTCCTGTGTTTACGTAGAGATCTTGTGACAAGTTGATCACTAGTTCAAGGAGCCCTACCATCTGCAAAATGATCAAAGTGAAAAAGAAAACTCACACCGTAGGGTATAATAGAAACGGATTAACTAAGTAAGTAAGTTTTTTCTTTTTAAATTCGCTTAGTGGGGGGTAGAGTCCAACTAGGTCCACTCGGCACGGCGGCCACTGATTGGCCTATTGTAGCCTGCCACGGGTGATTATGATGATGGAGAATTTGGTGGAATAAAGATTGGCAGGGGAAATCGAAGTACTCGGAGAAACCCCGCTCCAGCGCCACTTTGTCCGACATAAATCCCACTTGACCAGACCCGGGATCGAACCCGGGCCGCCGCGGTGGGAAGCCAGCGACTAACCACTTGACCTATGGTACGGCCAAGTTTCCTGTTAGGCACAGGCTCGAATTCTGCAAGACTCAAAACATTTCTACTCGGAATTACTAGATTTTTAGTCTTTGTCTATCGTCAGATGTTTAACAGATAACAAATAATGGTTATGAAAAATTATCATCTGGAAAATAGCGCCGTTTAGTCCGTTGAAAGTCAACTGAAATCTCGGAGGAATATTTCGCCTCTGTTTTCTTTTCTGCTTGCCACCTGCTTTCAGGTTCTCTTCTTGATTTACTCACTCTTCAACCCTGAAAATGGAGGAGATATGTTTTCCCGAGATGTCGGTTGACTTTCAGCCAAATACACGGCGTTATATCCAACAAGATAAAACTCTATCCAAATAACAAACCTCATAATAAAATATTACAATTCCCGGTCTAACCCTCCCTTGTTACGGTTTTCATATTTGTATCATGAATGTAAGGATAAAACTTTCCAAACCAGGACATCCCGGTTAGTAATGAAGCTCCTAGTACTTTGTTGCCTCTTCCAGAATTTACTGGGAATAACGCATGTTATTAACACAAAATTTGTTAATGTCGAATTATAAAACTGCATTAATCTCACTATGAAACATAACTAGAAAACATTCACACAGAAGATTCGCTTCAAACCTCTCCCTCAGCGCAAGATATGGGAACTGTACAGTTCCAATGCTTCTTATTTGGCGCCGTCCAGTGCCTTTGTTTCTGACCGAAAGTAACATAACATGCAGCAGCGCTGGAACCTACACGCAGTATGCAACCCGCTCTTTCGCGTGTGCTCATTCAGGACTAATTAATTCTGGAATTTGAATCTAAGAGACAGTCAGTAGGACTCCTTGGCCGGGGGAACAGCCCGTCGCAAGGCCGGTACCTACAGAGGACAACACAGAACAAAGGCAGACAGACATTCATGACACGAATGGGATTCAAAACCATGATCCCAGAGTTTAAGGGGCGGAGACATTTCATGCCTTAGACGGGCTGTGACATTGGCGGCTTTCAATATTGCAGTTCGTAATTGATACAGAATAAAACCAAATCTTCTCTACTTTAAAGGAAAATAGGCGAGTCTACGAAATCTGACTCTGCTGATCTGCAGAGTGAGCCTGGTAACGCGGCAATCTCCATCACTTTCCAAGGAAGCAAAGGGTAGGAAAGTTACGAGGACATGGCGATTGTTCTGCCCTCAGAAACTCCCCTGACGATCCATTCAGTAATATTGACAAACGTTGCACGCTGCTCTTCTCCAAGCTGAGTGTCTGTAAGATGTTACACATGTCCGTCATTTTTCAAAGAAATCATGAATAGAGTCTTCCAAAAGAAGTGTTCGAAAATAATACGGTCGTCTGGGTTATAACATAGTGTGGTTCGAAAACAGCCCGGACTTTCGATGTAACATATCGTCTCCATCTTCAGGATCGGAGAGTAAACCAAGCAAGAAACCGGCAGAAGCGGGCGGTAGGCTTGTGAAGATTATCACTACCAAAATTCCTGCGAACCGATTGGATAGACGACTGGAGGGGAATATAAGGGAGTGCGCTGTGGTGGGGAGCGTAACAGCTCGAAGGTGACGCTGGGAGGGGAGGGTGAGAATCCATGGAACTCCTTTCCGTGGCCTCAGTGTAGTCGCTGTCACTCCGAGATACACCTTCAAGTTCTTGTCTATTCTTTAACTCTGAGTTACTTATATTTGTTAAAAAATTGTGTGGATGTGCACCTCAGGGAATCACCCAGTCTTCTCGGAGATCTACAACAGCAGCTAAAGGGTCTTCTCTCTCTGTCCTGACTGTGAGGGTGGAACCGTGGACCACTGGTATGGGTCTTTTCAAACCATAAATTCGTTTATCCGTTAGTGTACCACCCAACATAGTTACACATTCTGTTCCAAAACAGGATTAATTTGCCTCCTAAACATTTCTGACAAGCTTACGTGTGAAGATAAATGTCACAATATTATTAAAACTGATCTTAAAGAAATAGTGTGGCGGATTCTGACTCGAATTAATTTGGTTCTCTATAGGGTTCAGTATCAGTTTCTTACAACAGTTAATTCAAAATCTCTCATAATATATTCTCATATTATTGGTAGTTGCTAAGGAAATCCGAGAGTATGACAACCCCCTACCCATCCCCACAAAACAGGATTCACATAAAAATAGAGATATACAGCGGTTCCTCCTTCTATGGAGCTGCTAAAGGGTAAAGATTTCTCTGCGCTTAATTAATTAAGAGGTCAGTTTCACTCACCGGTCGCTTTACTTCCGGGAAGGAGCCCGCGTTACTCATTGTATAGGAAGTTCGGTGAACCGCAGAGCCGGTTTGAACGTTATGGAGAATTGAAATTTCTTGACCCTACCGGGACTTGAACTCCGAACCCTCGGTCGTCCAGCCCGAAGCCAGTCGCTATACCGACTGCGCTATCCCGGCTCCTCTGTGTTGCTGCTACTGCTTCATTATAAGCCGAGAGTGACTGTCATTCGGCCTTTGCCTTGTGCTTACTGTACACACGTCGGCTTTTCTTGTGAGTTTCGAATTTAGTAATTAATTTTGGCCACAGCGCATTTGGTCACGTGTTCTGGCGGTGTCCGAAGTCAAGGGTCAATATGCTGGTATGATCCAGCGTCAATTTACTGGGCCTGGGCCTATACCAGAGCAACCCGTCATTCCCGAGCCACTGTGGTTATATCCTCGTGATCGGGTGAACCCTGAGAAGACCGTGAGATCTTCTGAGGTTTACACCCCCTCGAATATGTAACATATGTATATGCATATATACAGGAAGACAAATACGCAAGAGCATGTAGCAAGAGGTGAAATATATTTCCTATACTGAGGCCACGGAAAGAAGTCCCATGGATTAGTTCCCACCCTCCCCTACTAGAGCTACCCTTTTGCTGTTACGCTCCCCACCACAGCGCACTTCCCTATATTCCCCTCCATTCGTCTAGCCAGTCACTGCACAGAGATGTCGGTAGTGACCAGGGGGGTGCAACTGAGATAGGGTGAAGGGAAACACGGTAACTACTGCCTCTCTGAATGTCGGAAGAAACTTCACGCAGGTCTCGACCAATCAGAGAGCCTAAACAAACCAATTTGAATACCCACAATTATATGCGGTTATGGTGGATCAATATAAGCAGATTGGTAAGTATGAATTTTGATTTGATGTGGTTGCGAAACGAGAGTAGACATTTGCAAACGAAATTACAGCTCCATATTAAACATATTATTTATGTATATGAATATTATGCTTACTACCACAAATTAAATTAGAAACATAGAATTCTTTCAAGCCAAAATTTTTTTTAGGTTATCGTGAACCGTCATCTAAACGATATTTGTTTTATGATATGTTCTGCAACTTTCGGTTTATCCTAAAGATAGACTGTTGAATGTGAAGGAGTTCTAAGAGTACCGTGATGGTGTTATAATTTTTGTATTGGTTCTTGCAGTATAGACATGAAAACGAAAACGTGCTGATGCTGGGTGCTTGTCATCCAGCAAGCAAGGCATCAAATTCTTCAGCTTTCCAAGGGTTCCAGCACGGTATGTCTGTTTTAATTCATGGTGTAATTACTATGTGTTGCTTAATCCAATGAATAAATTAAGTTTAGTGTATGTCTGTGTTCAATTCATTCAACATAACCTAAAATTTTAGAATGTGTACCAAGTTTGTAATGTTTACTGAAGAATTATTTCTAGGTTTTGAGACTATTTGTTCTACTTTTACAGGACTGTATGGGCAGGAAAAGTTGAAATATCCTTCACTGTTGATTCTGCTAGAATGATGCACAATAAATATTTGTGCAGCAAATATTTCCTGGAAAGTGATTTCACTACAGCTGATAGGGTAGTGGTAGTTCCAGCTCCTGTCCCTTCCTTGAATTCCTTGCCTCAAGAAGACTGTACTCATGTTGTATTTCCCACCACCTTCAAGTCACTGGGGCCATCCCCTGTAACACATATTCCTATCCATGCACATGGTCCTTTCACTTCCTTTAAAATGTTTGAAGTGCAACCATTACCAACAGCAGCCACCAACTTTTGCAGTGAAAGAAACCTCGTTTCTCCTAAGCCCTGTAAATATAAATGCTTCTGGTGGGGAACTCAGGCATATCAATCATTGCAGCAAGCCACAACACTGTATTGGCTACAGGTAAGGACCACTGCACTCTATACTATGAATTATGTTCTGTTATGAGAGAAGTGGCTAGCGAGAATAATGAGAGCTAATTTTTGAAGTAATTGTCCCAAGAACCCAGTTGTGATCAAACAAATGTCATTGTCATCATTCATTACTAATGAAACAGTACGTCAGCTACAATTTTATTATAAATCTTATTTTACTGTCTTATATGCAACTTTTTAAGTTTTAAGTTTTAAACTTAAAGTTAATAAATCGTTTCACATAAGACTGTAAAATAAGATTTATAATAAAATGGAAGAGTGCAACAGGATGCTACAATACACAAGTTATGTAGGATATGTCTAATGTTTTAGGGTAATTAAAAATGTTTGAAAAGCAGATCACAATATCAGTAATATGATTTATAAGAGAATAAGGTGGTGATGACTGCTATGAGGAATAATTTAATGAAATATACAAAATCTTTATAATGGCAGTCCCTTTCAAGTAAAGTTTGTTATTTTCAAATCTGAAGAAGTCCATCATGTAAGGAAGCCCACTAATTTCCTTTTTAATGTTCTTTCAGTGGGGTGCTGTGGAGAATACCTGGCAACAGCTATTTGATGATACCCTGTGAACACATTTGAAGCTATTCGTTCGTAGTCTGGTTTGAACAACAATCCAACTGTGGGACAGTTTGTAGATGCCCTGAAGACTAACATCATAAGTGCACTTGCTGTCAGAATTCTGTGTGGAACTAGTTGTGAGGATGATGGTGCTACTGTTGTGTGTAACCTACAGTCATTGTTCAGGGCACCTTATGCTTCTTCACCAAATTCGTCCGCAAGTCGTGGCAAGGAAACCCCTGATGAAGTTCCTAAGTTTCCATGTTACTCAACAAGTACAGAGAGACATGGTTGCTGTAGTACTTGCTGGTGACATGGAAGTGTTCTCAGTAGCCTATGTCAGTGGTTCCATTGCCAGACAGGTGCTTCGTGGTGTCAGCTGTGGTGCACGCAAGATGTGCGTGATATCTGAAGTGCTGCTATCAGCCAATGTCTTCATATATTTCAAGGAGTACAGAGACAGAGAACAGTCTCTCACCTGTCTTTCTGAGACGTTGGTGTGGAGACTGTTGGTGCTGCTGTAACTCTAATGGAGTCTATGATGGCAGGCAATTCAATTCATGTTGCAGCACATCACAGCTGCCATTAAGAGCACCATTGACTTGGAGTGAATTAGGTGTACTGGTTGTTAACTTCACTACCAACAAATAGTAGATGGTATTGTGAGATGTCTCACAAGAATTTACATTCCTTGGTGGTGTAAGCGAAAAAACAAACTGAATCAGCCAGGCAGAGGGCCACAAAGAGGAAGAAGATTAAGCTACTGACACATCAGTAAGTCATTAGGAAAGTAATGCTTCTTCATCTTTGCCTTGTAATATCCTGCCCATACCAGCCCTGGAAATCGGCAGAGATCAGTTATTGAATTACTGGAATAATATATTCCAATTGCTCACATGAGCATCTCTAGATGGTTCATAAGTTGGAGAAAGTAACCCTGGTGACAAGCAACTGCAACTACCATGCCTTCACATGCTCTTGTCTCAAACCTCTGGTTTTGAGTAATTTGTTGATAACATTGTCACCTACTGTCGGATTACATACAAGGAACCTATTGCGATCTTGAGCTCCATCGCCTCTTTGCTTTGGAGACCTGTTTCCTTCTTCCCAGAGTATTAGAACATCATTGTCAGAAGATGATCAGAGTACATTCTGCCCTGTATCTGAAAATAATTATATTTCAGTCAAGAATTGTGTGGGAAATTCTTTTCTGACTCAAATGGTTCTTGTTTATATGTGGGTAAGAGTGAAGTGGCATTACTTTATAACTGACTGGCAATCTTCAGGTTAGCTGATTCAGCGTGAAACACCGAGGAGCAGGATCAATGTCAGGATTCACTGTATATTTTGTAATTAAATTTATTAACTACTTCCTAGGTAGGAAGTTTTACTTATTAGTGTCTAAATATTTTATTCATCTAATTTGTTATTATGGGTATATCCCTTCAGTCATTGCATTATTTTGGCCATATTATTGTGTTCAGCATTGATCTCATGAACATAAATATATAAACATCAGATTTTAAGGTTCATTATATTCCTTCAGTTATTTTGTTATGTTGGCCATATTATTGTGTTCAGCAATGAATTTATGAACACACACACACACACATATATATATATATCATACTTTCAACGTTCATTATATTTCTTCAGTTAATTTCTTATTTTGAAAACATGAGCATGTTTCAGATCATGAGGTGTGTAAGACAAACACAAAAACAACTCCGTACAGTGTGACTATTTAAGTTTTACAACTTGAAAACTCAGCACTCTTACATGTTTCGATCCTTACGGATCATCTTCAGAGGGAACATCAATACTAATTTGGAAACCACTATCACAATAGGCGTTCTGAATGCTAAATTACATACACACACAATGCCTGGAATACACAATATACACAATATTCATCTTTTCACAATCACAGCAGCCTTCCTGGTATGAACACTTTTAAAGTTTTTAAAAACTTTGTTGTTTAAGTCAAATTTTTTTAAACCATGCAGGTTCGTGTCACTTCTCCTATCGTCTTTCTTGGAGGGGCTGAACTTGTGCCACCTGTCAATCTTGTGAAGGAGATCCTTAGTATTGTCTGTGTTTGTTCCTGGCTAGCTGGACGGAATTATTTTTGTCTTTGTAATTGTTAGTGTGACGGACCAGAATGAACTTACTTACTTACTTATTTACTTACTCATGAGCTGAGCCCTTCTTGAGGAGAGCCAATTCTGCAGCTACTCAAGAATTTCCCAGCATTTTATGGAACCCGAAGGTTCATCACCGTGTTCACAAGAGCCCTCAACTGGTCCCTATCCTGCGCCAGATCTATCCAATCCATACCATCCCATCCTATCTCTAAGATCCATTCTAATATTGTCCACCCACCTACGCCTTAGTCTTCCCTTCTGGCTTTCCCACCAATATCCTATACGCATTCCTTGTCTCCTCCATTCGTGCTACATGACCTGCCCACCTCATCCTCCTTGACTTTATCATTCTAATTATACTTGGAGAAGAGTACAAGTTATGAAGCTCCTCATTATGCAGTTTTCTCCAACCTCCTGTCACTTCATCTCTCTTCGGTCCCAATTTTTTCAACACCCAGTTCTCAAACACCCTCAGTCTATGTTCCTCCCATTATGTCAGAGACCAAGTTTCACACCCATTGAGAACCACAAGCAAAATTATAGTTCTGTAGGACCTGAAAGAAACAAATAAAAAAAAAGGTTTGTAACACTTCTGCAATTATTTTATTGCTTTTCTTATATTATTAAATGTAATCTTAATCTTGTTAACAAGAGAGTGTATCAGATTCTCGAGTTTCATTATACTACTGAAATTAATGTAACATGTTGCGCGACTGAGAACCCCCCTCCCCCCCTCCTCTCTTCCTCCCAATCGGCATTCAGTCTGGCCGAAAATTGCTCCTGGGCGAACAACAGACGTTCCATCAGACTAACTCAAAATCATTCGCGTGTTCTAATCCGCACTCTCTCGTTCTCACGAGTCCTAGAATGCGATGGACCGCATCGATGATTTTCCCTCCGAAGCAGGCGTTTGAATAACTTGCAGCCCTCAGGAGGCGGAGTTGGTTGCAGATGCTGTTCAGCAGTCTTCGACATCGAATTAATATCGACTGGTCCACTGGTGAGGGAGATTTAGGGTCAGTCGAATTATATTCTGCTCTCCAGGTTGAGCCCGACCCACTTTGCATAGTATTCCCAAGAAGTGCATTTTCTTCTTTCAGGAGAACGGCCAGCTGACTTTCAACACAAATCTGAAGCTTGCTGAACTGCCTATGGAGTATACTGTTCCCAATGTCTCTGAACCGCACACACACTTGACGCACTTTTGAGATCTCGTCGTAGCTGAGCTTCAGCAGTATACACTCCAGGAGTTCATTGGGAAGGCGTGTTATTGGCCCGTTATAAGCAGATCTGAAAGTAATGCCTGCACCTGC